ATTATCAGAGTTGTTGCAAGATTGTTCTAACAAGTCTGATACAGTCATGATCAAGGTTGACGACACATGATTGCAACAATATTGTTATATCATGACTGTATCGGACTTATTGGAACCATCTAGCAACACGTCTGATAATATCAAAAGGTTGTTACAAGTTGCAAGGGAGCACGCCAGAAATACTTGTGTAAATTTATACTAACCTTTTAATTACATGTAAATGTTTTCAATTTTCATCGGCCGCCATTTTGAATGTTGAAAGCGGTATTAGCGTATCGCAGGCGCAATAATTTATGTTCATCTTTGACATTAATTTATGTTACACGATGATACTCCGAAGGGCGACCGAGAAAGATCCGAAATTTAAAATAAGACGGAGAAATAATAAAAAATAAAGAGGGGAGTGAAACGGCCGAACACGTGATGGGGTATTGGCCAATGACAATGCGTATATCCAATTTCGTTATCTGGCCATGCTCGTTGACCAAGAACTGTCGAATCTGAAATATATCAAAACTTGTATTGTATTGATTTTCGACAGCAGAGAAACAAATACATTTGCGAATGCTGGACACAAAATACAGTATTAATAATTCATGAAGGGAATTCAAAAGAAATGAATGTTTAATCAATGTATGTAAATCGTCGGATAATAGATTTGTAAATTGTCCTCATTTACATAAACTTCAGCTTCGATTTTCTCGGCTTAGACAATGTTTATTTTAAAATTACTTCGCCAATGAACTCACATGATGGGTCGTCTTTTAAGCACGTTAAAACACGAGCAGCCGATGTTTATCTGATATACAAACTCTCGCCATTGTCCCCAATTTTAATAATATATTCTAATGTGACTCCCTTGAACTAATTATAGTAGATCAAATATAAATCAACGGTAAATCCGAAAATAATAAAAAAAAATTATTTTCTACAGTATATTATATTATAATTTGTTGTTCTACAGTATATTACATTAAAATACTCAGTGGTTCCCGTAATAGTAGGTCTCATTTTGTTTCCGGTTTGTTCCTAGCAACATCAAATGTTCCTAGTAACAGTCAACCAGCATCAGTGGATAATAGTTCGGCCGTTTCACTCCCCTCTTTATTTTTTATTATTTCTCCGCCTTATTTTAAATTTCGGATCTTTCTCGGTCGCCCTTCGGAGTATCATCGTGTAACATAAATTAATGTCAAAGATGAACATAAATTATTGCGCCTGCGATAAGCTAATACCGCTTTCAACATTCAAAATGGCGGCCGATAAAAATTGAAAACATTTACATGTAATTAAAAGGTTAGTATAAATTTACACAAATATTTCTGGCGTGCTCCCTTGGGCTGAGCAGTTAAACGTTTCCAAATTGACAATAACAAACTCTTAACTATAAAAAAAAACATATCACAATACAAGCTAAATTGCACTGTAGTTTGTAGTCTGCTGTAAAACTCACAATAACCGATAAAAGCAACGTTTGTAGATCGAGTAGTAAGTTTCATAAATACATAAAGCGACATGTATTTATTAAATAGGATACATAATTTGTCAAAATCAGTATTTTCAAATTGATCGGGTATAGCTACTGTATTATGTAGAGAAATTTCAACACGTGCATGGGTTTGTATCCATGCTCTTCGACTTGTCAAGGCAGATATCCAATGAGAAAACTTGCCAAAACATCTCAACGATTTCCAGCTGTTTCAGTTTTTAGTTTAAAACCCAAATTCACAGCAATCTTTCAAAAATATACAGCTAGTGGAATTTATTGAGTCGTTGCACTTATTTAATTATGCTGTGGATATCCATTGAGCACTCTGCCAAATGTTTTTGTAAACAACGAAACCTAATTATATATATATATATATATATATATATATATATATATATATATATATATATATATATATATATATATATATATATATATATATATATATATATATATATATATATATATATATATATATATATATATATATGCTAATATACGCTTTTATTGATAGCGTATAAACATTGCGCCACAGTGATTGATGCGTATTTTGGCATACATTATGATTTCAACCAATAGGATTTTTGAGTCCGCTAACGGCCCCGAAATACCAAATTTCCTTGAGATTGTTGCAGGCCTATATTCTATAGGCCCGCCACGCAGGCTAGGTGTAACACGAAATCGTACTGATTTTAAGTACGTTCAATATTGTTGCCAACGCTACCGCATTGGTTGATTGCATGCAAAATTAACACATGGATTAACACACGTCATTGTTCGTACAAAACAGTTCGTACAAAACTTTCGTACTAAATTGTTCGTACAAAACTGTTCGTACAAGGAAAGCCATTCGTAAAACATATTTGAATTATTTGAAGAATAAACTTTCAGATGAACAATCTTATAAAGATTAATTAGTTAAGTTGGCTTTCTTATTAGAACATTTAATACTATGTGTAACTTGAGTAAAATAAAACAAACTGTTGTTCTTTATTTTCTCGCGAACTCAAAGGGTAGCTCATCTATTATTCGAAGCTCTCATAAGTATCGTAAGGGCCTTAACATAATATATACCCATTGTGCACATCATGCGTAGCTACGCTCGCACGTTATGCATACATTAAAGCAATTTTCCATTCCAGCGCTTGGCCCGCGCGAGCGGAGCGGGCTTTGAAAATCTGCTCACGCGGGCGTGACGGGCTTCAAAAACAATGACGCTTCGCCCGCGCGGGCAAAGCGAACGTTAATGGAAAACGGCCTTTATTATTCATGCGTAGCTACCTTTGCTATTATTAATGCAGCTGAGTACGAACTCTTGGACGTACACTAAATACGAACGCTCGGACGTACTCCTCTGTTGACGTCATACATACAATCGTTCGAATTACTTCCGGTGCTATATGGGGGTATCTACTTTCCTCAACGAAAGCCGTGGACGAAAACGTGCATGAGTGATGAAAATAGAGAAGTTAAGGCTATGTTTACATTGTATCGGATCAGTTTTTGTTTCGTTCGCGAAAAGTTACGGCCCGAGTGTAAACAGCTTCCGCCCCGCCCATCTATGCCGTCGTATTTTCTTCTATATATTATTAGAATAGTAAGTTGTTGTTTGCCAGATTCCATCCGAGTCACGCATTGAACCGAAATTGCTCCGATTGGTGTTTACATCACAATGAGAGCGTTGCAAAAACCGATCCGATACCGCGCACCACTTCGAAGAGCGAACCGCCGCACCACCGGTTCGTTGCAGAAATTGAGACGATAACAACATTTCATATGTAAACAGAAGCCCTATCCGGTATGGTTTTTGCGTCGGACGCAAAGTGATCCGATACAATGTAAACATAGCCTAAGATACCCCGGTTTCGGTGTACGGGTACGAGTAGTGTAATATCAGAGCTTCTATATATGCATATGCTCACAACTTATTTACATATCAATCAATTTACACTAAATTATTTACAAATTATGGGTGCATGCACTCATGCATTCACACAACGCGTCTACATACTCCCGGCCGATGAGGAGTTCTCAAACTACTCGTCAATCTTAATCTTGACGCGATATCACAAGCAATAGTCAATAATACATATATTTATCACCGTCTTTCAAATAATTAAACGTTTATGTATTGCATTCTTCTAAAAGACACACATCAACAATAGGTCTAACTAAGACCGAGTATTTAGTTTTTAGTTCGACTGTTCTAATCCTATTGTCTTTACTCGAAAATACTTTCGTGATAATCGCCATTGGCCACTGCCCTCTGCGTATCTTTTTGTTGCCTACCAACACTAAATCGCCAACCCGAACATTTCGTTGCACACTTAACCATTTCTGCCGAAGGTGTAACGTCGTTAGATACTCTCTTATCCATCTGTTCCAAAAGTGCTTCGCCAGTATTTGAGCTTGTCTCCATTTTTTCCTCGTAATTACGGATTCTTGGTCGAATTCTCCGGGGGGCAAAACAACTGCGGGTTTTTGAAGCAGGAGATGAGCAGGTGAAATAGCTGTTGCGTCACTTGCGTCTTCACTCGATTTCGTCAGAGGAAGTGAGTTCAGGATGGACTCAACTTCGGCGAACACTGTTTGTAAGACATGATTCGTAACTAGAGATCCCTTCAAAATGGCTTTCAACGCACGCTTGACATCTTTAATCAATCTTTCCCAAACTCCCCCAAAGTGTGGTGCATGAGGTGGGTTAAATATCCAGGTGATGCCTCCTTGCGATATAATTTCTCCTGTAGATGATTTTCATTCCACTTTGCTATAGCAAGTTGCAATTCACTATCAGCACCACGAAAATGTGTTCCACAATCAGTACGTATTTCGCGGGGTGTCCCTCTCCTGGCAATGAATAGTCGCAATACATTTATAAAATCGTCCGTTTCTAACGATGGGGCCACTTCCAAACGGATTGCTCTGGAACACATACACGTGAAAATGCATCCCCATCTTTTGACTGTTGAACGACCTTGCTTCACAAGTATTGGTCCAAACATATCTGCACCGACGTAGGTAAAAGGGAGTTCATAAGCAATGACACGACAATGTGGTAGATTTGCCATCTGCTGGTGCAACATTGGTGCATGTCCTCTTCTGCAGACGGAACACTTGTTGATAATTCTTCTAACTAAGGACGCGCTTGACAAATGCAAATTCTTTGCCCGATATGAGCATTGTTTTGTCATAGGCGTCAAAAGATCGATAAGTGGAGGGGGGGGGATCATATTCATATATTCGTGTTCTGCATGATTAATTTCTTTTGAAATCGATTGTTTTTAAGGTCTGTGAACACGAATATATGAAAATGGTCCCCCCCCCCACTTATCGATCTTTTGACGCCTATGGTTATTGTGTATGTGTCTTGCGATAAGCTCTGCGATCCAATGATGTTTTGGTAGAATGGGAGGGAATTTCGCATCATAGTTCAGAGGAGCGTGTTTTAATCTACATCCTACTCGAAGTAGATCATCTTTACCAATAAATGGATTTAGCTTCGTAATACTACTGGATTCTTTCACCTTGTCTTTTCCACTGCGGAGGGTTTCAAATTCTGCTAAGTATTCTTTTCGCTGAATGATCTTTATAATATCGTGTTCTGCATCTTTTAATTCAGCCAAGGTAGGTTTCCCATGCGAACAACTACAATTCTTTGAATGACAATTTCTAAGATGACTTTTGAATCTTGTTAGCCACACGATTTTAACTTTTAATATGTTCCATGTGGAATATCTCTTCAACATTTGAACGAAACTGGACGTTTCCACGTCAAACAGCAAGTTCCCCTGGGTACTTTCGATAAGTTCAGGATCATCACTAGCCAGTTTCCCTAACGAGGTCATCGGCCAAGTCGGTTCAGCGCCTTTCAGAAATGGAGGACCATTTAACCATCGACTTTCGGATGTCAACTTCGCTGGATTTAAACCACGGGAGGCGTCGTCGCTTGGGTTTTCTTTGCTAGGGCAATACCGCCACTGTGATAAATCCGACTTCTCTCGAATTTCTGCAATTCGATTTCCCACGTAAACTGTGTACCGTTTACTTTCATTCTGGATATATTTCAGTACGATTTCAGAGTCTGTCCAGTAGCAAACTCGGTCGAATTTGATCTCTATCTCGCGCTGGATCATTTCACCAATCCGAACCGACAGCACCGCCGCTTGCAATTCCAACCGTGGAATTGTAATTCTTCGTAAAGGACCAGCCCGGGATTTGCCAAAGACAAGCGCACAGACGACTGTTCCATCGATGAAGGTGATTCTGATATACGATGCAACTCCATAACCAATCTCACTTGCATCGCTGAAGTTGTGGAGTTGAACGTCTTTTAGATCTTTGGTTGGGACTGATGTTTTTGTTAGAATGTTGGATTTATAACAACGCGGTATTTTCATGTTTGAGAGGGCTGGTAGTGCTGATTTCCATCGTCTCCATTCCACCAGTTCTGTGTCTGGAAGTTGTGCATCCCAGTCAATCTTTAGTTGCCATAATCTTTGCAACTGGCATTTGGCGAGCAACGTTACGGGAGCAGCAAGTCCAAGTGGATCGTATAAACTTGCAACAGTCGACAAAATTCCTCGTTTCGTTTCGGGTTTGCCTGAGGCAATGACTTTAAACTCGAACGCGTCTGCTTCAACGTTCCATATCATACCCAGGGCTCTTTCCACTGGTAACTTATCCATATTAAGGTTAAATGACGGGTTTGCACGTTCTGATGCTGGAACAGCGGCGAGAACTTTCTTACTAGAACTCATGAATTTCGCTAGACGGAAACCACCTCTCAGAAGAAGCTCAGTAATCTCGCTGGAAAGCTCAATCGCTTCCTGTTCATTGGGTAGAGATTTTAGCAGGTCATCAACATAGAAGTCTTTCTCTATCGCATCAACAGCTGACTGGCTGAAATCACTCGAGTTATCTTTGGCCGTTTTCCGCAATGCAAAATTAGCGATTGAGGGAGAATCTTTGGCCCCAATTATATGTACATTCATATGGTTTGTCTCTGGAGCGTCATCCAAATCAGATGGGAGCCACAGGAACCGCAACGAATCGCGATCCTTCTCTGGTACTTTTATCTGATGGAACATTTCCTGAATACCTGCTACAGCCGCTATTTTTTCCTTGCGAAAACGTATAAGCACGTCCACGATTTCGTTAGTCAGGTTGGGTCCTTGCAACAAATTATCGTTCAAAGATGTATCTTCAAATTTAGCTGCAGCGTCAAAAACTATGGAAGATACCACGTAGTATCTGAAGTACTCGATGCTCCGTCTGGCCGTAGTTTTCTCGCGTATCCCTTCTTTACATATTCTTCGATTTTCTCACGATATTTCTGATGTACAACTTCATCTTTCTTCAAGCGGTTCTTTAGATGCTGAAGGCGTTTAAGGGCTACGTACCGATTATTGGGTAGTTGAGGATTATTTTGGCTCCACAGCATTCCTACTTCGTAGTTATTATCAACGATAGTTGCGGATTCTTCCATCATCTTCAGAGCTTTTCTATCTTCAATGGACATCACCTTTCGAGTATCCGACACCACACCAAGGCCATCTGTCTTAAAGTAACGGCTGACTTGCTCTTTCAGATACAACTCTTCGGAATCGGTATTTGAACGTTGTAAAAGATGAACGTCAACATGATTTGATCTTTCACAGTTAGTTGGTCCCATCAGAGCCCAGCCCAGTTTCTATTTGAACGCCCACGGTTCACCAGGTCCAGCAACTCTGACTTGCTCAGTAATGAAAACTGCTGGATTGTATGCCCCGATTAGCATTTGAATTTCTTCGCACTCGACATCAGGAAAGTTTACGTCCGACAAATGTTTCCATCCCAATAAGTTGTCTTTTCTTGGCACAACTTTAAGGTGTACACGAAGTTGTCAGTAACTATTACGTCTCTTACTAGAAGCTTCGAATCTTCATGGGTTCGTTCTACGGCTTCAACAGTGACTGTTACTTTCTCCGCGTTTATTGAAGTGGATCCAGTTAATGACTTTATGGAAAGTGTACTTCTGGTCCCCTTTAGGTTAAGATCTTTCGCTAGGTTACTGTGTATAAAGGTGGCTTTGCTCGCTTGATCTAACAGGGCGTACGTCGACTTACTCTGGCCATCTGGTCCGGGACTACAACTGCCACGACTGGGAGTGCTATTGCACCCTTGTAGACATCTGGGACAACTTTCGCTGCATTTGTCTGGACATTGGCGTCACATGGAGTTATCTTTCGTTGCTCCGACTTTTCAACATTGAGTTGATCTTTCTTCGGTTCTAGGTTGTTCAAATGCAAAAGCCTATGATGTCTTCGATAACAACCGTGAACGTCGCATTTAGCATATCAGCAAGTTCTCTTGTAGTGACCAAATGACAAACATTGGAAACAAAGTCTAGATTCTGGGACGACCTTTCGTTTTTCTACGACTGTCATGTTCAGGAATGTTGGATACGTTTGAAGGCGGTGCCTATGTTGACATACAGGACATACAGGTGTTGTCTGATCAGCGTTACGGTCGGACTGTTTCGGTGCAAATTGTGTTGTGAAGCTTGAAATTCTTGGAGCGTTTATATTTGAGTCAGAGTATCTTTTCTTTCGGATGACATCGGTTTATTCAACTCTTTCAAATTGTTGCGCAATTTGTTAAGTTCATAAGTATATATATATATATATATTGCAACAATATACTGTAGAAGTTATATATCATTATCAGTCAAGGGCAAATTTGTAACAAGCTTACGCATTAAATGTTGACATGTTCTTCTTTCGAACGCAATAAATGCAAATTAAGTTCCTGTAGGTCCAAATTAGGTTAAAATGAGAAAAGAATGTTCTTGCCGTAGGCGTATGAACGCTTGGTATGTTCTTCCTTTAACGTCATCAGTTAGATATTTCTTCCTTTAAAATGTATTATATATATAACCGTGTATGTAGATTGTAGGTAGTTGTTATAGTCATTGTCGTAGTACGTATCTGAAATAAAGTTGTGTGAAATTTACTGGTTGTCACGATTGAATGAAGAATAGAATACAGTCCCAAGTTAAGCGAGCGTGGAAGACCTATATACTAGCGGGGTTTCCATAACATAGTGGTCCTTCGAGCCGGATCGTGAACTAGAAGAGTACAACCAGGTAAATATGACGGATTTAGCGAAGCAGAAAAAGATACGTGGAGGACATCGAGGACACGCAAAAAAGCTGATTGGAGAGATCCAAGGATATTGGAGAATGATGCGAACGAGAATCGTTACGAGTTAGAGCAGTTGAAGGACGCCTTAATCGCGAAAGTGGACGTTCTCAAGGCTCTCGATGATTCTGTGTTAAAATTAATGGAGGATTCGAAGGAAATTGACGAAGGGGAGTTCGGGCAGGAACTGTCTGACGCGAGCGACTGCCAGTTAAAGTATCGAAAGGTAGTTCATCTTGCAGAAATGAAGCTAAATGAAGTGTCATCGGGTAGCGTTACTAGCGTAGTTAATATAGCAGGAACGGTCAGTGACGTGGCCAGTACAAACGTTGCCAACGGTGGAAATATTGCGACGGAATCCTCGTCAGTTGAGAACTTCGAAGAGACGACGATATCGACATCACCAACGCAGCCTGTACAACAAACGAGTGGGAGTGTACGTGTGAAACTGCCTAAACTCGAGGTAAAAAAGTTTAAGGGAAGCGTTTTCGAGTGGCAAGAGTTCTGGGATGCATTTGAGAGTTCAATTCACACGAATGTCGGGTTGTCAGACGTCGATAAATTCTCTTATTTGAAAGGACTTGTTGAAGAGCCAGCGAAGTCAGCAATCAGTGGATTTTCTTTGACTGCCGCGAATTATGGATCTGCTGTGGAGCTTTTAAAACGGAGATTTGGGAAACCTGTCACAATACAAAGAGCTCATATTAACGAGCTATTAAATCTACAGGGAGTGTACAAGGAGCGAGAGACGGGGAGGTTGAGAGCGTTATATGACAAAATAGAATGCCATTATAGAGGATTAGTTGCGTTGAAAGTGGGCGAAGCTACGTATTCGAGTATTGCTGTGCCTTCTCTTCTCGAAAAGTTGCCAGAAAGCGTACGATTGACCATCACCAGGGGTGCGGATTTTAAAAACTGGACAATGACAGACTTGTTGGACCAATTTCGCGTTGAATTGGAGTTACGAGAAGAAGCTGTAGTCCTTGTCCCTAACGATGGACGCCAGTCTGGGTATGGAAAACGAGACAGAAATGTATATACGAACTCTGCTCTGTTTGCTGGCTGTGGAAAGGGAGTTTGTGCATTTTGTCGAGGAAGTCACAACCATGAAGCTTGCCAGAAGGTGAAGGACACCAGAGAACGTAAGAGTATTTTACGAAAATATTCTAGATGTTTTAATTGTTTAGATAAGG